TATTGTGTTTATATTTACTTCTTGTGGCTTGGGGAGCAACTACTAGCTCTGCAGGAATGGAAAACAAGTTGCTAAATAAAATGTCTCTGCAAGCACTGGTTTTAATAATTTTAAAAAGACTCTAAAATTCATGCTTTATGTTTCTCATGTATTGCTTTTCTGTTTCAGAAAATTGTGAGCACCAGCTCTAAAAGTGGAAAGGATTCATCACCCCAAACTGATATTTTATAATCAGTTCTGTGAGGGGAGACTCCAGGGTAGGGCCAGACCTAAATAAGGCCTTCAAAAGGGGTGAATCTGAACAGGACTGGGACAGGGAGTGGACCCTAGCAAGAATTTGGTTCTCTATGCCACTGTGGATATTTCCAGTTTTGTTTTTCCTAAGCTTACCTAAGATAAATTTTTATCTCAGAGTTTGTGTAATTTAAACCTTTTATAGCCTCTTCCCTGTCAATTTCATATCATATACTAATAAGCCGTTTAAACAAATATTTAAGGTTTCCTAGGATAATTTTATTTAAAGATGAATATGTGTTTTTAGTAAGGTAACAGAAATACAAATAATAATAACAACCCTTCTGTTCATAAATAGTCCTTCAGGTAAAAACACCAAAAGTCACAACAATATAAAGAACGTGGCCAAAATAAAGCCCAAGTTTTTTTGCACACATTTATTTACCTACCATATGATGCATAATTCAACCTTTTATTCAGTTGCTAGTTTTTATTAGTCTGTTCTCCCGCTGCTGATAAAGACATACTGGAGACTGGGAAGAGAAAGAGATTTAATGAACTTACAGTTCTGTGTGGCTGGAGAGGCCTCACAATCATGGCAAAAGACAAGGAGAAGCAAGTCACATTTTACATGGATAGTGGCAGGCAAAGAGAGAGCTTGTGCAGGAAAACTCCCATTTTTACAACCATCATATATTCTGAAATGCATTCACTATCACGAGAACAGTGCAGGGAAGACCCACTCCCATAATTGAATCATCTCCCACCATGTTTTTACCATGACTTCTGAGAATGACAATTCAAGATGAGATTTGGGTGGGACACAGCCAAACCATGTCATTCCACCCCGGCCCCTCCCAAATCTAATGTCTTTGCATTGCAAAACCAATCATACCTTCCCAACAGTACCCCAAAGTCTTAACTCATTTCAGCATTGACTCAAAAGTCCACAGTTCAATATCTTATCTGAAACAAGGTACGTCCCTTCTGCCTATGAGCCTGTAAAATTAAAAGCAAGTTAGTTACTTCCCTGATATAAAGGGGATACAAGCATTGGGTAAATACAGTCATTCCATAGGGGAGAAATTGGCCAAAACAAAGGGGCTACTGGCCCCACGCAATCCAAAATCAAGCAAGACTGTCAAATCTTAAAGCTCCAAAATGATCTCCTCTGACTCGATGTCCTGCATTGAGTCATGATGATGCAAAAGGTGGGTTCCCATCGTCTTGAGCAGCTTCACCCCTGTGGCTCTTCAGGGTACAGACTCTCTCCTGGCTGCCTTCATGAGCTTGTCTATGGCTTCTCCAGGCACATGGTGCAAGGTGTCAGTGGATCTACCATTCTGGAATCTGGAGGACAATGGCCCTCTTCTCAAAGCTCCACAAGGCAGTGCCCCAGTAAGGACTCTGTGTGGGGGCTCCAACCCTACATTTTTTCTGTACTATCCTAGCAGATGTTCATTCATGAGGGCTTCACCCCTGCAGCAACCTTCTGCCTGGACATCCATTCCATATATCTCTGAAATCTAGGTGGAGGGTGCCAAACCTCAATTCTTGACTTCCATGAACCTGCAGTCTCAACACCATATGGAAGATGCCAAGGCTTGGGGCTTCCACCCTCTGAAGCAACAGCCTGAGCTCTACCTTGGCCCCTTTTAGCCATGACTGAAGTGGCTGGAATACAGGGTATCAAGTCCCTAGGCTTCACAGAGCAGGGAAGCCCTGGACCTTACCCATAAAGCCATCTTTTTCTTTTAGGCCTCTGGGCCTGTGATGGAGGGGCCAGTGGAGAAGATCTCTGTCATGACCTGGAGACATTTTTCCCACAGCTGGCTTATATTTCTCCTCCAAAAAATGAGCTTTTCTATTCTATTGCATTGTCAGGCTGCAAATTTTCCAAACTTTAATGCTCTGTTTCCATTTTGAAACTGAATGCCTTTAACAGAACCCAAGTAATCTCTTGAATGTTTTGCTGCTTATAAATTTAATTTTTCTTTTTAAATGTTGCTGTCAATAAGTTTATTTTCTTTATCTGAAAAAGCCTCATTGAAAATTGTTTGGTTTAGTTCTCAGAAGCCCACTCATAAGCTCTGAGGAAGCTTGCCTTCTTTTGAGTTACTCGACCTTTCTTCTGAGCAACGGACATTTTGGGACGGTTCCACTTCTTTTTAACTTTTTTCCTGGGCTTCTTCTCATAGACTGGATTCTCTCGCATAGCAGTATGAGCTTTCTTATATATCTCCTTCATGTCTGGAGTTATGCTTTTTTTTATGTATTGCGAGAACAGTTTCCTGTAAGCATCTTCATCTTCCTTCACTAAGTAGTGCATGTAATCTGCAACATTCTGGCCTATGATGTGTTTCTGGTGTACTACTGCATTAAATCCCTTGCTTTCAGAATAATAACCAGGGAATTGTTTGGTACTGTGAGGGATAAACAAGCCTCCATCTACTGCTCTCTTCAGGAACAAAAACTTTATTGCCAGTGGTAGTTCTGGGAAGGCCTACATCCAAATAGCAGGTAAAGGCACTTGGCTGACCATCAGTGCTTTCCACATTGTATTCATTGCCAGTCATCTCCACTTGGCCTTCACAGATCTTGTCCATGGCATAGGTCACAGATCTTGACCTATTGAGGAGTCTGTAGGCCAGCAGCAGGCCAGTACAATACGCTGCAGTGTAATTGGTTAGGCCAAACTTCACATCACATTTTGGCAGTTTACGTGCATATGCTGTGCGTACTATCATGTTCTATTCTATATGGATGTACGTAATCTGACAATATCTCTGTTTGTTACACAAACTATCATCCTGGGGAGCAGCCATGATGGAAGACCTGGATGATGGCCTTGACTTCCTCTCGGGAAGAGAACTGTGGACTTAAAGCAATAAATGTAGATCTTCAAAGTGATCCTCCTCTGCAGGTGGACATCTCTGATGCTCTTAGTGAGTGGGATAAAGTAAAATTCACTGTTCACACAAAAAGTTTATTGCCAAATTTTAAACAAAATGAGTTTTCTGTTGTTCAGCAACACAAGCAATTTATCTGGTGTCACGATTCCTTTGTTATAAATGAAGACTATGCAGGTTACATCATTTCACCAGCACCACCAAGACCTGATTTTGATGCTTCAAGGGAAAAAGTACAGAAGCTTGGAGAAGAAGGGTCAATGACAAAGGAAGAATTCACAAAGATGAAACAGGGACTGGAAGCTGAATATTTGGGAATATTCAAGAAGACAGTTGCAATCCATGAAGTGTTCCTATATCATGTGACAGCACATCCTATTTTGAGAAAATATTTAAATTTCCATGTCTTCTTGGAATATAATCAAGATTTGAGTGTGCGAGGACAAATAAAAAGAGAAACTTGAAGATTTCTTTAAAAACATGGTTAAATCAGCAGATGGAGTAATTGTTTCAGGAGTAAAGGATGTAGATAATTTCTTTGAACATGAACGAACATTTCTTTTAGAATATCATAATTGAGTTAAGGATGCATCTGTTAACTCTGGTAGAATGACAAGGTCCCACAAAAGTGCTGCAGATGATTACAATAGAATTGGTTCTTCATTATATGCTTTAGGAACTTAGGATTCTACAGATATATGAAAGTTTTTTCTCAAAGTTTCAGAAATGTTTGATGAAACAAGAAAAATAGAAGCGTGAGTGTCCGCTGATGAGGCCCTCGAACTTTCTGACCCTTAAAAATATTACTTAAGAGACACTCAAGCTGCTAAGGATCCCTGTATTGAAGGTCTAGGTCACCAGTGGATTATGAAAATGCTAATAAAGCACTGGATAAAGCAAGAGCAAAAAATAAAGATGTTCTGCTGGCTAAAACTTTCCAACAATTATGTAGTCAGAAATTTGAAAAAAAAATCTCAGTCTGCAAAACAAGAACTTATAGATTTTAAGACAAGAAGCGTGGCTGCATTCAGAAAAAATTACTGGAACTGGCAGAGTTAGAACTGAATCATGCAAAAGGTAACTACAGTTGCTGCCAAACTGCCTGGCAGTGCTAAACAGAGACACATAAGCCACACCCTGCCTTCCTGTTGAAAAGGGCTGCCCTCCTTCAGATTTTATTTTTGTCTTCTTAATGATGTTAAGCATATATGCTCCTTGGGAACAAACAAAAAACAGCTGACAAAATGTACCTACTCTTTTTCTGAGAAAAATGGAGCAACGCCATGTACAGACGATGCCAGTCTGTGTGCTGTAATGCCAAACTGTGTTCCCCAAGACAGTGGTCCATTATTGTGCACTCATCATACTCAGAAGTCCAAATTTTATTCCTTAAAGTAGCCTCTATAACTGCATTTATTTTATAAATAGTATTCCTTATGGATGCCAATCTTATTTACCTTTAAATAATTTCTGAAGTTTAACCTTTTCAGAATGCATTGTTCAAACAAGATAAAGATTTCCTTTATTGAATTTTTTAAAATTTTGTTTTAAAGAAGCATTATATACCACCTTAGTTCATTCATGTATTCTCAAATGTTTCAAAGATGGCTAGGTAATTGTAAGAGGGTTCCCAGTTACCCTAGGTTGACTGCCCAATGATAAATCAGGCAAAAGAGACAGGCTGATTCTAAATGAAAAATGGAACTGCTCTCGTGGAGCTCCAGAACCTGGATCACCTGTCCTGATTCTAGCTCTTGAGTAACAGGAAGGACAAGAATACTCTACTCAAGTCTTGCATTTTACTGGTAGGTGTAGCTGTGGCTATGGCTCTGGATACTTTCTGGCCTTGATCTTTCACTCCTAAGATGCTTCTTTACATTTACAGATTTGGCCATCAGATTCTATTTACTCTCGGAACCTCTCACAGAATGTAGAACATGTAGCAGGTCACCGAACTAGATATGAAGAGCTCAAAAAGCCACACTCTCAAAGGGAGGCTTCAAGATGTCTGTGTTGACATTTCACAATGCAGAAAATGCCTCCAGTTAGTTTTCTGTACATTTTCAATCCAAAGTCTTGGCCTGTCTTGTAAATTCCAGGCAGAGGACAGAACTTATGTGCAGATTCTGGGTGGGATTAACCTCACTCTGCATTTTTGGGTGTTACAGCAAGTAAAGTACAATTGAAAGAGAGGTCCCCTCACAGAAGCTGCTCTTCTAGATAATAGTTTACAGAAATGGAAAAACAGATGACACAACATGAATATAAGTAGACAGTTTATTTGGACCAAGCTTGAGGATTTTAACCTGGGAACAAAGATTCTAGTTGTCTGAAATCTATACAGGTACAAGTGAATTTGTGGCTGGGGTGATGGCTTACACCTGTAATCCCAGCACTTTGGGAGGCTGAGGCAGGTGGATCACTTGAGGTCACAAGTTCATAACCAGCCTGGTCAATGTGGTGAAATTCTGGTAATTCTAGACAGTGTTTGTGAAATAATAAAATAAAAACTTTCTCTAGCCCCAGAGAAACTCCACAATGATAGAACAGAAAGTATACTGTTTTATTACAAAATTAAACCAGAATAGGACATGCATCACAGTGAATCTGCTTAAGAGATTGGAAAGACAGAGAGAGAATCACCATAACTAGTCCAAAAGTAGAAGAATTTATAGCACGATGTCATGTACAGTTCATCCTAAATTCACTGGTAATTAGGGAGGCCATCCATGTATGCTAATTGGTTATGCAATCACAAAATAAACTTTTTACCTTTTCACGATAGGAGGTAATTTTGCAACTTGAAGCCAGGACCCTGCTGATAAGACAGGCTCTCACTCTCCTACTGAAATTGTTGAATAGGGTGTTATGGTTTTGGCTATATGCATTTTAAAGCAATGGCTCTTTACTCCCGGAGGACTGGGTTCAAGCACACTGCTTGGGTTCTCCTGATGGCCAGGGTCCTCTCTTTACGCCTACCAACTTCCACTGAGACACAGTCCACAACACACAGCTCAAAGCTGCTAGCTCACATCTTACATGAACCCCAATGCCACAGTAGCATTCTAGTGTCACATCAGAGAGTGAAGCTTGGGCTGCAGGGAGAAGAGCCTGCAAGGCTCCTTCACAATTTACTCTCAGAAGAACTGCACCTTCACAGTAATGGGAATGGGAGCAGTATTTCAGCCTCAGTTTCTATTTATAATGGTGACATAAAAAAAAAAAATACTGCTAGATTTCCAGCATGAATCCAGATAGAGATAGCTCCAAGAATTCTCCGTGTGACAACCCATCTCATTCATAGAGACCATGGGATACTAACAGGGCTTCTGAAACAGACACCCAACGCACTGGAGAGAAAAACAGCTCTCAATCTGAGCAAGATTATATTGAAAGAAAAAATAAGTTAAAAGCATCTTCAAGAAAAAACTCAGATTAGATGTAAGACTAACAAACTTGGTCAGAAGATAATCCCCCAAAAGGAATTTTTCTCAAAACACTCAGAATGCACAGCTACTCTCAGCGTGTCAGCGTGAGAAACATGAGCATTATGAAAAAAAAGGCATGCTCTCAGCAGAATTTTACAAGGGTTCTTTTTCATGTCTTCTGCCCTCCCATCTCCTAACCAGTGAATTGGGGATCTACACTGGAATACATCTGACAATTTTCACCAGCACTTTTTCATGAAAAACTGGAATCTGACTTTGTTATACAGTGGAATATATTTGAGCTTGCAACATAGCTAACTGAAGAGTTATTATGGTTTTGGGTCGTCACATCACCCGTCATGTTTATTTGTCCTGTAATAGCAGCATTCGAATTTAGTGAAATGAAAGACACAAACCATGTTTACCTATAATTATCCCTATTGGATAAATTAATAAGCATGTCAAACTAATATCTACTATAACAATTTTGTAGTGAATTTTCTTTGGATATTAGCTATAAATATCTAAGTATAATAATTTTAAAGTACTTGTCATAATGTATGTAGAACTTTAAAAATATCTATAACCATAATTCAGTTAAAACACTATATAGTTCAAGAGTATAAATAACAATATTAAAATGACTAATTAAGGGATTTATTCAAATATTGTGGCCTTCTATTCATACTATTGTACAAATTGTTATCTAATTTATGTGAATGCAAGTTGTCTACAAACACTACACCTAACTATACTAATTGTACTGAAGTAACAGAAACCAAGGTACACCTACAGACTCCACTATTTAGTGAATAAACTGAACTGTTCTTGCCTTTGCAGTGTAAGTATTTCAGTCTGCAAATATGAGATAATTACCTTGGATAATCAGTTTTCTGTCAAAAAAATTTACTGAGTATCCTTTTAATTCTTTATCATTCTGTGTTGCAAAATTTAATCTTATCTTTGTGCTCAACTTTTGTGTGCTCTTAAAGTAAGCTTTAAACAGCCAGGTGTGGTGGCTCATGCTTGTAATCCCAGCACTTTGGGAGGCCAAGGCGGGTGGATCACCTAAGGTCAGGAGTTTGGGACTAGCCTGGCCAGCATGGCAAAACCCCATCTCCACTAAAAATACAAAAAAGTAGTCGAGGGTGGTGGCAGGAGCCTCTAATCCCAGCTACTTGAATGGCTGAGGCAGGAAAATCACTTGAACTGAGAGGTGGAGGTTGCAGGGAGCTCAGATCATGCCATTTTATTTCAGCCTGGGTGACAAAAGTGAAACTCTGTCTAAAAAAAAAAAGCTTTAAACAAATTTGTGTCTATTTTAAAAGACTAAAAAACCAACAACAAAAAAAAGCCAACCAAACAAACAAAAAAACCTTTGCCAAAGCAAAAACAAAGCAATGGTTCTGAGGTCCTAGATGAAGACAATTCTGAGTCAGAAAGAATAACAAAAGGTTTATATAGCTGTTACTATGATTTACATATATTTCCAAAAAGCAGAGAAAACTATCTACGTGTAATCTAAATGTTTTTTTTTTTAAAAAAGAAAGATGAATGAAATATCCTCCTTTACTTTCAGGTAAGAGAATAAAGCCTCTTATCTTTAATTTATAATTTTTTCTACAACAGCCAAGTCTCTGGACA